GAGTTGATTACTCCATACCGTAACGCTTAGAGGAGCACCGCACGAGGTGTCAATACTTTCAAGTTAGCCCAGCTGCAAACCGATGCAGACAAGCGCCAACGCCGGAAAGACGCTGCCACCGCCCCTCCCGCACTAGATGCAGCCCTCCACATGTGCAACGAATGTGGATGACCCTGTGGGTCCCGTATCATTGTATCATACCTGGATGATCATCACACTCGACTCCGAGTGACAGCAAAGTACCGGTAGTAATAAAGTAGTAGTGTGTGTGTGTGTGTGTGTAACGGATTTCATTGGGCTATACAGTACTTTTGAAATGGGCAGGACTATCAGTAAGTCAATTACAATATTGTAAGTACTGTTGTATGATACACAAGTACTGTACAATATTATAAGTCTAAGAAATATATTTCCCAGAACCTATATTAGGAAAAAATTACAGGAACTGTTTAAACATGAAATTTCTCCTCCTCAGATACCTGAGGTATTACAAAGGAATATTATTATCGGAGAAATTTCATAAAGTTGTAAGTCTACATAATATGCATGCATAAAGTAAACTGAATATACAAGTTTTTTTCTTCAAAATAAATGTTTTGATACTTCAGTATTCCAAAGTAAAAACAGAAAACTAACAAGCATAATGATTTTATCGACACGTACAAAACTTCTCTAAATTGGGGAATAAAGTTCTCTGGCTCAGTTGTGATACAAATGTCACTGACTACCATACACACACAATAATGTTGGTGAAATTACCTTTTACAGTCTCAGTGGAGAAAATATACAAAATAATGCAATGGTAAAGCAATTCAACTACAGTACTTAATTCTCTTCATTTCTTTGTGGAAAACATATTTTTTTATCAATTCCTTAATTCACTATGTTATTGTGGTCTTTACTGATATGTCTTTATCAACAACCTAATAACTTGTTAAAAAACTTATCCCTCACACAATTCAACCTCTGATATTCATTCCAATAACCTATAATACTGGAATAAAGAACCTAAAAGACATAACACAGTGCCCTTTGCATCGGCTGGGTAGTATCTCTCAGGCAAAAAGGGTTTGCACATTCTAAGACCCTGACACAACTTAGGATCAAGCTGTACAAAAAGTAAAACTATCTCTACACAAATAAAGCTAATTTTGAACAAACAAGTAAAGTAACTTTACAAAAACAACGGCTAAAAATGCATCACCAATTGTGTGTGAACCTGTGTTCAAACATGGATTTTTATGACTGCAGGTAGAATCATCGCTTATGAAGTCAACCTTGGATTAAGTTTTGATGACAAATGACTTGATCAAACTTACAAGATTAATACCACTCCCAAACATCAATATTCAAGTAAGAGAACACCTAACTTTTTATCTACAGTAGTATCTTTTCTGTTCTCTCACTCTTGTGTGAAATAGATCTAGGAGTACAAAAACCTTAAAGAAGGGAGGAAAGAAAAGAGGGGTGGAAGATGTGTGTAGAAAGTGAAAAGGAAAAATAGAAAATAAAAATACTCACACATATTTACTTACATCCTAAACATGCATAAAGAGTATATAAAGTGAATTTTGGTACGTAATCTTTTTTTTACATCACAGCACCACATATTTAAGATATCAGCTTAAAAGTTTAACAGTTAACATTATCTATGACAGCTCCAGAATATATGATACTGTACTTAATTCAACTTTCAGAAAATTTCACTGGTTGTATAAAAATGCATATTGTAATATAGACTAAAAGGAAGTGAACAAATTAAGTGCTGAGAAAAAATAGCATTACGTACTGTACATATTACCGAGTCAAGAAGTGTGTATTTCTGTCAACGGACATAAGACACACAAAAAGATTAACAGGGTGAGACAGCCAGATGATATACTGACCTGATGCTCAGAAAGCATTTGAGAAGGATTTAGAGTTATGAAGAATTTTGTATAACTGTCAAAACATAAATAGTAACAATACCAATAAACCAATTCAGTAAAACAAAAACAAAAAATTATTGGTACTGTACTGTACAGTCAGTAAAATAAGTATCGACCACCTCAAGGTCGGTGGAATAGAACAGTGATGACAACCAACTGACACCGGTGACCACAGATACACGTTTATAGTTTTCACACGATCTTCCATATTGTTACACATGGCAGGTGGTCGCTATTGTTTTTCATTGACTGAACAAGATATACAAGCAATTTGTACTACTGTATAGTACATAAAACATTAAAGGACTCTTTCCTGTCAAACTGCACCTTCATATACTGTACAATTTTTCATATTGAGCTACAGAGTGAACTAGATAATTTACACAAAATCAAATGTGATTTATGTAATATATCCTTCACTCTACAAGTTATTAACAAAACACAACTACACAATGAGGTGACACTATCAGTTACTAGGTTCAATCTCTATGGCACTTTGCTAAAATCTTTACTACAAATAATACCGGTATGCATAATTATTCACAACACAAGGTATGGATAAATCTCTATTAAAACACACTAAAATTATTTATGGTACCTGTACTCTGTTCAGTATACAGTACTATATGTATATAAATGAAAATAATATTGAATTCCTAAATATTTAGTTTTTTTTCATAGCTGAAATACAAATGACTAGCTAAATAAGATTCTGACTAGTAGCATATTTGTCCAATTATTCTGTGCATTTTGAGCAATTTTCAATTTTAAAAAACAAATTATTGGTGGAACTAGAACTTGTACAGCCAGGAGATCCCAAGCTCAATTCAAGGTGCCAGTTAGGGGTTTTCAGGTGCTCACTTTGATGAACGATAACACCTGACTGGCTAAGTGGCAAAAGCAATTAAAGATTTGATGTATCTTTTCCACCTTTGTTAATTAGTGTGGAATACAGTTTACAAACAGACTGATTGATCAATAGAATGGTAGAGATGAAAGGTGTTTTGTTTTACGGTAGTTCAAATTTTCAGATAACTTCCCACCTAATTTTATTAGTATTCTATAAAAATGAGTAACTTTTGCTTTAACATTCAAAATAAAACTATGGTACATATATAAAAAATATATAGTATATAGTACTTTCACACTCTTTTATACTTTTACTCAACATTTCTCCTCATACTGCCTGCTTAAAAACTTTTCCCATGAAAACTTTAACAAACAAGAAAAATAATGGTTACTCAAAACATCTTTAGTTCAATTGAACTTCGAAACAATTACCTGCATTTGGAACAGTCTGCAATACTGTTCTGACCCATACGGCCACCTCTCTAATGTTGACCGGGATCCACTCTTCAAAACAAGTGTGCAAAGTTGAATTATACAGTATCTCCATTAGTTTTTTAATTATTTGCTGTAACATATACACAGGGAGACTCAATAAAAGACAAGAACTTCTACCTTCAGCGCCACTTGTAACATAAACACCGTTTCCCACATAACGATCCCTTATTATTTTCATTAGCTTTACACAAATCTCATACAACCACAAGGTATTACAATGTTGAGTCCTTCCTTAAATTGCATGACCAGCAATTTTTTGTCAAATAAAATTATCATGAAAAACTGGCTCACATTAATAAATCACTAAAACTGAGACTCCCTACCACAGTGGCAGAGCCCACAAACAAAGGGTTTCAGGTTAGCTTCTTGACCAGAGTGGAGAACTGGGTTCCCTCCTTGGATATCAGCCCTTTCCAACTCAGCAATGAGAACACTTTTGAGTTTGCTTGCTGATAAGGGAACAAACCTCTATTGGACAAGCAACTGTCAAGGAAATGAGGTAGCCCACTAGTTACTGATAGCTAGGAATAAGGATACTACAGCCTCTGGCCACCCTGTATCAGAGCAAATAATTTTACTACAGGTATCTGACCTCTAACAGTTATAGTACTGCACACAATTCACTGCTAGTGAAGCAATCCAATGGTATATAGTTTGAGTGCACATGTTTCTATATAAATAGTCACATACTATACTTTCTGGCAAGTTTTTCTTTAGGTTGATACACACACACACAACCAAAGACTTATATACAGTAGAACGTCGATTTAAAGCGATTCAATTTAAGATTATTGATTTAAAGCGACACCCACAATTAAGGACAACGTTTTAATTTAAAGCGGACCTTTCCTATTTTGCGCAAGTCAATCTGGAGCATCATATTCTAAAATTCGCGCCTAATGTTTCTCTGGGCACGCTACGCTGTACTGTACATGTACTCAAAATAATGTACTAAATGATTACTAAAATATTTGTCTACTGCAAACTATAGCACGATTATGTTCAAATTAATCATTATCTTGTAAGAATTCCAGCAATGTAAATTATAGTCTCCCCGGTCAATTCTGTGACATTTTATACGCAAAAAACAAAAAGTCAATCTAAAGGACATAAATAAACAAATAAATACTTCACTTGACCTTCAGCCCCAACTGTCAAACAAGTCACTGTCACCCTCCATCTTCCCAGCCAGGGTTGGGTGGTGTGGTTATAGGCTTACAGTTTTTATACTTTAAAATATCACAGACTAAAGTTAGGAGAATATAATTTGCATTGCTAGAATCCTTCCAAGACAGGGAATAATTTGAATATAAAAGTCATACATTTTGCACGAGATAAAATTTTTAGCCCTTTGTATAAAATTAATTAAAACTAAAATTTGTATGTCTAATACGAACTATAGCATGCATATATTCAAACTAATCACTATCTTATAAGAATTCCAGCAATGTTAATTATATTCTCCCATGTCAGTTCAGTGACATTTTATAAGAGAAAAACTTAAAAGTCACTCTTAAGGACAGATAAATAAATAAGCACTAGACCTTGGCATCAACTGTCAAACATATCACCTCACCTCTCCCCCCCCCCCAACCTTCCCATCAGCTGATCGGTAGTACACAGACCATTTCACATCCCATAATTTTAGCTGTGTTGATTTATGAGTGTTTGTTTTAACATAATATTCAAAAAACAATGTTTTGTTTATTCTAGATGGGCTGAGGTGCATCTGGGTAGACTCTCAGTCTTTTTTAGTATTTTGTGTTTCTCTCAAGTACCAAACTAAATTATTCCATTGAAACAACACTTCGATTTAGTGCGAAGTCGGTTTAAAGCGACCTCTCTTGGAACGTATTTCATGTTATATCAACGTTCTACCGTAATAACATGCATAAACAAATTGGTACTCAAATATGAACTCTCTCACACACACACAATCACAGCAACATACATAGAGCACACTTGCACATGACTATATACTGATATACTGTACTGTACAATATTTTCATACAAGAATGCAGCATGTAGTATTTTGGTACTTGAAGTAATAAGACACTGTGATGTGAGTATGGTAATTCTAAAAGAAGTATCTATAAACTAATATATCATATCTCATCAAATACATTTATACAGAACTGGAGTTTCTGTTTACCATTAAAAGCTTTAACAGTTCATGGTACAAACTTCAACAATTCATAGTACAGGTACAAATTTTAACAGCTTATGGTACAAACTTTAACAGTTCATGATACAAAATTTGACTTTAATGCAAAATAAGGCAACCAGCAGTAAAATCTATAAAGTCAACAACCATAAAATTTTTAGATTTTTATGCTACAGTATTTTCAATAAAATACAGGTGGGGTGACAACCAACATCTAGAAGAGTTGTAAAGCACAGGAAAGAAAAAATATAATAAAAGATGAAGTTGTCATAAATGAAGAATATAGAAACACATTTCTTATTTGATTTCAGAAACAAGACACAACATTTCTTGGTGTGTACTGAAATTACAAACCAGCTCTTCCACTGTCTATTTTGTTGAAGAGGTTGTCAGTAAGTTCCACATAGCCCCCTAGCTTATTGTCCAAGTAAAACAGTTTATCTTTAATGGTGCTTGGATTGAAGCCTTCTTTTTGGAGGGCTAACTTCTTCAGTTTGAAAGTACCTTGAAAAAATAAATAATAAAAATAACAATGTGATATAACATAAAAACCAGGACAAAATAAGGCTAATACTGTACCTCTATCTTTCTTTGAGAGAGCTGCCATACTAACAAAATGTTAAAGAGTTTTAAAAAATAGAAAATTAATCAAAAGCTTTCGCCCCCTTCCTGCACATACTCTGGGTGCCACTGACTTTCATCTCAGTAAAATTTACCTTTAATACTAATTTCAGTAGTACTATGAGAAAAATTCCTTATACTGTGCTGTAGTTCTCTTGGGACTCCTCTTCAAAGAATTAATATCAATTAAGGATTGATCCAGAAATTTTATTTTCTGGTCAAGCCTAGAAATAGATGGCTCAAGCAATTGCACCCACAAGGCAGTTGATCTAGGATCCAAACTACCATGACATTATTGACCATTTATACTTTAAATGACTAAGTGTATTTATTTTTTACAACACCAATGCTTCACCTGATCTCTCTCCTTGTCCAAGAGGGAAAACAGTCTTGGCTTCTAGTTATCTCTTTTCAAGGTTACTGTTGATTTTGAAGAGATTTACTTATTGTTTAAATTAGTCACATCAACTATGTGAAGTTCTCCTAAATCTTAGTCTGACTGCTTAGGAAACTCAAACTTTAGCTGCCTGACTTTAAAATAATTCGGTTATAAATAAACTCAACAGTGTCACTAAGTTTCTATCAAATGCATTGTTTTTTCTTAGTATCTCTGAAATGTTAAGTCTTTTATAATGTACTGTACAGAACAGTACCTGCAGTAAAAATTATATTTATGGAACATAATGACTTATAAATAAATATTTATCTAAAATTTCTTAACATCCCTTTTACAGGTTCACATATTTTTGCTTCTGTATTACACTGACTTCAATTAGGGGATAAATGTCTAAAACAACAGATATCTAATACACGAACCTGTAACGTCAATTTCCTTAAGTATTCTAAGGAAGAGTGGACGGGCATAGTGTGGTAAGGACTTTGTCAATCCCTCTGTAAATGCTTTCAAGTTAAGTTCATCCTCTGGATCAACAATTGCTGCCATCCCAGCTCGACCTTCAGCCCCTGGCACCTAAAATGTCAGAAATTATGCATTTTATCAAATTGTAATAAATATTTGTAACATACAAGAGTATCTCAATACACTGGACTAAATGGGGCAGACCCCAGTCCAGAAAAGGCCATAAGTCCTCCTCCCCCCCACCCCACAAAAAAAACTTTTTTTCTAAAAACCAGTTTTTGTGATATAGTCCAGAATGCGACGTCTAGCTTTATACTTTATACCTAGGTATGTTCATGCCTAGCTATAACTTGCCAGGCCAACATACAGGCAATTAAAACATCTAAAAAAAAATCTATGGGGGAAAGGGGGCTGGACATAACCTTGCTTATCTGGACTGTTTCAAGAAATTCTAACCAAAGTCTGGCTGTTTTATACTTGTAACAAGTGGTGTTGCCCAAACCATTTGTGGCATACTGCTTGCCTCCTCGGCCACGTGGTAGATTTATTTAGTCCAAGCTCGGATTATAACACTCCTGTCAACGATTCAACGACTGATTTAATCCCACTAACAACACTACTACTCTCCACTGTATGAGGGTAATTGACGGGAAAACCACCCCTGTACAAGGAGCACCTAGGGGTGTATATAGGGAATGTGGACTGACCATCAGGCCGTTGGCATTGACTTGTTTGTCTGGTCAGTTCACTAACCCTTTTCTGATCTATCCCTCAGTTGCAATCAACCTCTGGGTGGTGTACTGTCTTCACCAGTCCACTGAACATCAGGACAGAGTTCTCTACTGTAATTATAGACAATTCACCAGAAATCTATCAGGCCTGTGTTTTATGTATTTAGGCTCTACTTTGTGAATACTGTACTCAAGTTAGTGTGGTTTAGTGTGTTATGCTGGTGTTTTTTGTGGTGTGTTATTTGTTCAAAACCTTTTTGAGTCTTTAAATTCAGTCCGGTGGACAGCTGCACGGAACCTACACTAGTGACCTGTGGCAATGAGGAAAATTATAAGATAAAACTATGATATGATAAATATATAATACAAAAAGCTTTATAAGTCTAAAAATAAAAATTTAAATAAAAAATACTACTTTAAAAATCACGTGTGGTTAAGTTGCCCCTATTGCAGTTAAACTTTTTCCTCATTGCCAGAGGTCACTAGTGCAGGTTTTGTGTGGCTGTTAAAGACTTTAGTGTACCTCTCACCTATCAACCTTCACAAGAAAGCTATACTGTATAAAACCACTTACTATCAGCCAATGTTATACGTAATTAAAACACAAATATATTACCTCTACTCCATACACAACAGCATCTTTATTTCCAGCAACTTTGGAGACAACTCCCTCAACCTCTGTTGAGGAAACATTTTCACCACGCCAGCGGAAAGTGTCACCTGTACGGTCTTTAAAGTACATGTAGCCTAATTCATCCATAACAAGAATATCACCTGTAAAAAAAAAAGGCATCAACACAATAAACTTTTCAAATGATGAAAAGAGTAACAAGTCCCCATACTGAGTAATGGGTGGAACAGTAAGACCATAGAGGCAAATAATTCAAGTGATTGTTTCCTTTTATAACATAAAAAGACAAGGTAGTAAAATTATACCCCAAAACATCACACTTACCAGATCTGAAAGCTGTGTCACCTTTCTTCATTACATCCTTCACAATCTTCTTCTCTGTCGCCTTCTTGTCAGCATAACCATGAAAGTCACGAATTGGATCATTTCTTTTGATCACTCCCACAAACTCCCCAGCTTCACCTGTGGAAAAAATGAAGGACTGATACTCAAATTATTCATTTTGTGGTCAAACCTGGTTTCCACTTAATGCACGAATTAAACACACCAGTTTTGCAGGTCCAATTCTAAACCAAGGAAAATACAGATGCATCATATGCAAAATTATTACTTATTATGTGCAGTTGAATATGCTACTACTGTATATTATTTTCTAAGTGCTGATAAATACAGTATGTCTGCACTATCTACCATATATACATTGTGTTCTGACTTTCACTGTCTACATACATTGTGTATACACCTCCACTGTGTATACACATTGTGTGTATACCTGCACTGTGAGTATATATTGTGTGTATACCTGCACTGTATATATAAATTGCGTGTATACATCCAATATATATATACATTGCATGTATACCTGCACTGTCTATATACATTGTGTGTATACCTGCATTGTATATGGGTATATACATTGTGGGTATACTTTCACTATCTATATACATTGTGTGTACACCGACAGTGTATATAAATTGTGTGCATACCTGCACTGTATAAACAAATTGTGTGCATTATTATTGAAAAATTAGACACTAACCATGGCCCCTAAGAAAGAGTTTGGTGTCTGTAAGGATGGTGAGAAAGTTAAGCCTAAAATCTCATCAGTGAATGAAAAGTTAAAGGTGATTGAAAAGCTAGAAAAAGGTGCTGCTCCCTTGCAAATATGAGCTGAATATGGAATTTCAAAGCACTCAAACTGAGAGGCATGTCCAGCTGGATCTGCCTTCCATTTTTTGGGTAAGTGTACAGTAGTTTGTGTACATTATTTTATTTTAAATAATTTTTCTTAAAAAACATGTATTTCATACTTAAAAATTGGATACACTGGTGTAGTACTTATTTTTTTTTTAAATATAGGTCTTTTTGTAAGAATTTGCTCTAAGGCGGACAACCTCCTACCCCGGACACCCCTTCCCCCCAATTAGTCCGCCTTAGCGAGGTTTTACTGTATATTTATCTATCTACTGTATTTGTGTTTGTCTATATTTCACTGCTTGTACCACCAACAATTCCAGTAGGTATTAGGCAGCTACCGAACAGGTAGGTACTACCGCCTGGGAAGATATTGGAAGCATAATGTGTTGTCTAATGGTAGACCCTGCTGCCACATGGCATCACGAAAATTGTGACCAAGTCCCAGGTTGCTGATCTGACTTTCTGCCTCATTTACACACAATTGCAGGGTCTCAATTGTTTCTCTTACTATTGACAACACAACATACATATATTGTTCCTCACTTTTGATTTTTTTTTCATTTTGTATTTCTTTGTGGATCATCATCATCATCATCATCATCATCATCATCCTCATCCTCATCATCATCATCATCATCATCAATCTGCTTATAGTCAAGACCCTACTATACTTGCACTTGGGCATTGGGGGTAGAAACAAGTGGTATCCATACATCACAAAAATTAAAATACTGCACTACTAAGGAGGGCTGGGAGGTGTGAGTGAAAGATAAATGCCTACTTGGTAACAAATTCTAGTCAGGCCCGCATGGTAATTCAAACAGTACCATGAAATTATAATACTTCATATGATGTGAATCGAAGTCCTGTAAGCATATGTTATAATACTGAAGCCTGGGGGTTAAGTTCAGGAAAAAGACTCCAAACTTTTGTGACAACACTGGTAATTAGTAGGGGCCATTTGTGAATAGGGAGAAATGAGACTGGTAGTGGCCAGTGGGAACTTCAATGTGTAAAAATAAAAGAATAATTATGACCGCCAGACATTATGAATACCGATACAGTTGTGAAAATGTGTTTTTACACCTCTGTGGTAACCTGTGTCTCCAAATAGCAATGTTGCAGTAGTAGTATCACTGTTTATGAATTAATGGGTATTGGTTTAGCAAAGGATGTGATTGGTGGATAGCTTTGCTGGAGGTCATATAGGTTGGCCATTTGAAGACACGGGTTACCACATGGGGTGTAGAAACACACTGTATTTTGTTGCCAAGTAGGCATTTATCTTTCACTCACACCTCCCAGCCCTCCTTAGTAGCATCTATCTATTTAAAATTTCAAATTTTATCACTAAGTGAAAAAAAATTCTCACCAGGTTCACATAAAATACAGAGCCCATTCTTGTTTCGGACAGGTTCACCAGTTTCCTCATCGATCTTGATCAAGTAGACAGGCACAGCATGTCGGAAAAGCAATGACACAAAGCCACAAGCACCCGGCTTCCCCTCGATGTTTACTAAAAAGGGACAGGAAGAGAATATAAATAGGGAATCAAGCTAGATCTGATATGATTAAGACTTTCCAAAAACCTCCTCCAACATACAGGCATGGGACCATTTATCCAGCATGCTTGGAACCTGCGGGTTATCACAATAATGGGTTCTTCCCGAATTTGGATAGCCAGGCCTAAAATGTACAAAATATACAGTAATCCCTCTGTAACTGGCTAGGAAGCCTCTGTTCAGATCACTAGATTCACCCCTAAAAATATCTTTACCTGTAAACTGTAACATTAAAACTTAAAATTATAGAGGTATAAACAGCAATAACAGAAGCACATAAATAGCAATAATGAAAGCATTAAAAGAGCAAAAATTATACAAGTCAATGATCAGTGTACACACTGCATCCCAATCTCAGGGACGCTGCCCATCTCAATGCTCACCTTACCAACCATCCCAGCTGGGGACACTGCCTGGCTGGCTCCTCTAACAACAGGTGCTCTGCACTACAGACCCTCTGACCTCTCCACACAACTTTACAGTGGAAATCCATACAGTACAGTGACCCCTCGTTTAACGAACGCCTCGGTTAACGAAATTTCGGTTAACGAACTGCCTTCCATTAGGATCTTCAATTCGGTTAACGAATTTCTTACGAACCGACCTCAACATGTTTTCGCTTGCACTGACCGGGCAACCAGCTTTAGTATCAGTCCGCCAATACATTAATCGGTTCTAGGGCTTAAATTCCTTACTATTTTAGTAAATATCAAGAAGTTTACACTATTCAATAATTTTAAAAGTTTAATATTCAATTTTTTAGTCATTTTAACAATTATTGAACATAATTGAAGGTAAAGTGACTAGTTTAATGCGCGGCATCCAGCCTCTTAACACAGCAAACAGGAGTTAGTCTCTCTCTGTTTTCACTGGAGGTAACATCTTGCTTGAGACTCTCTTCAACTAAACGCTTTTTTCTGTGTTTCCAAGCAAATTATTGGTCATTTTGAAATATATTTTACATATTGACAATATATAATGCAGTGCAGTGTTGATTTAAAGAAAATAATCTTGAAATACACCAAGAGAACTAAAATTTTATGGGTGAAATGGTGCCATGGGGTGACTTCTCTTCCACCCCAATGCCTTCTCTTCTTCCTTCTCCTCCACCCCCATTCTAATTCCATCATCATCATCATCATCCAGGAGCCTTCTACATACACACCTCAAAGTAAGTGAACTTTTCTACCATTTTTGTTGAATTTAGGAAATTTTCGGTGAGCTGGAACCAATTACCCAAAAACCCATTGAAACAATGGTTTCGGTTAACGAACTTTTCGGTTAACGAACGACCTTCTGGAACGGATTGAGTTCGTTAACCGAGGGGTCACTGTACTTAAAACTTCATAACTTAGATACCTTATTATTTTTTATGCATTTTTTGTATGTAGGATCGTGTGTGTATGTGAAAAAAGAATTGAAGAAAATTACAAATATCTACCCAAAAATATGAGTTAAAATATACTTTATACCTAATGATAATTTTTTTTTAATAATTTTTCACTGTACATTTGTAGGATTGTACAGTCGTCCCTCGGTTAACGAGCACAATCCGTTCTAGAAGGTTGCTCGTTAACCGAAACCATTGTTTCAATGGGTTTTGGGGTAATTGGTTCCAGCTCACCGAAAATTGCCTAAATTCAACAAAAAAGGTAGAAAAGTAAACTTACTTTGAGGTGTGTATGTAGAAGGCTCCTGGATGATGATGATGATGATGGGAATTAGAATGGGGGTGGAGGAGAAGAGAAGGCATTGGGGTGGAAGAGAAGTCACCCCATGGCGCCATTTCACCCATAAAATTTTAGTTCTCTTGGTGTAATTCAAAATTATGTTCTTTAAATCAACACTGCACTGCATTATATATTGTCAATATGTAAAATAAATTTCAAAATTACCAATAATTTACTTGCAAACACAAAAAAAAAGCATTTAGTTGAAGAGAGTCTCAAGCAAGATGTTACCTCCACTGAAAAGACACAAAGACTGACGCATGTATGGTGTGTTGGCAGGCTGGATGGCATGTTCAATAATTGTTAAAATTACTAAAAAATTTAATATTAAACTTTTAAAATTATTGAATAGTATAAACTTCTTGATATTTACTAAAATGGTAAGGAATTTAAACCCTAGAACCGATTACTGTACTGGCGGACTAATACTACAGCTGGTGGACCGCCAAATGCAAGCGAAAACATGTTCAGGTTGGCTCGTAAGAAACTCGTTAATCGAGGGATTGTTCGTTAACCGAAGTTAAGAATCTTATGGAAGGTAACTAGTTAACCGAGGCGCTCGTTAACCGAGGGACCACTGTATGTGTATGTAACTATATTAAAAAAAGGGAAATTTTTTTTATATCTATCTATCTATCTATCGATCGAGATATATATATATATATATATATATATATATATATATATATATATATATATATATATATATATATATATATATATATATATATATATATATATATATATATATATATATATATATATATATATATATATATATATATATATATATATATATATATATATACAGTCAACCCTCACTTTACGCGGTCCCACATTCCGCGTTTCCACGTTTACGCGGTGCCCTGCCAGAACCCAGGATGCTCACATTCCGCGGTGGGTGTACCCCTTTACACGGTGAAGTATAATTTTTTTAATTTAGCTCATAAAATTCATACAAATTATCCGGCCAGAATATAATTTACATTGCTGGAATTCTTACAATTTGATGATCATTTTGAATATAAACATCATAGATTTTGCATTAGACATACAAATTTTAGATATAATGTTTACTCTTGAGTAAATATGTTATCTTTTGTGCAAAATATATGATATTTATATTCAAAATATTCCTGGTCTTACAAGGAATCCAGCAATGTCAATTATATTATCCTAACTTTAGTCTGATTTATTATTTATTACTAAAAAGGTAAACAGTCTGGTATTCCCACACATTTATCTAGTAGGGACGTTGGTGGGGGGGGGAGGAGGGAGGGAGGGACCGGCGACCGACCATCTGTTACCGTGTGAAGAATATTTTTTTTTTTATTAACTGAAGATTTTTATTTTAGCTCATAAAATTCATACAAATTACCCGGCCAGAATATAATTTACATTGCTGGAATTCTTACAATTTGGTGATCATTTTGAATATAAACATCATATATTTTGCATTAGACATAAAATTTTTAGATAAAATGTTTAATGTGAGTAAGTATGTTATCTTTTGTGAAAAATATATGACATTTATATTCAAAATATTCCTGGTCTTACAAGGAATCCAGCAATGTCAATTATATTATCCTAACTTTAGTTTGAGGTATTATTTATTACTATACCTGGTTTTCCCCCCAAAATTTCTCAGAGGGAAGAGCCAGCAGTGTAGTGTGAGAAGAGGGGGAGGGAGTCGTGTCCATTATTTGAATGGACATTAACTTGGCGACTGTATTTCTCTATTTCTCTTAAGTATTAATTGTGTGCATGTACCATCATAAAATTAAGATGTTATTTTTACTACAACATAGTTATGTGTCGTCAAAAAGTGGAGTTTGGGGATCGGCCTGGACTCCATTTCAATTAATCCCATATGTTATGTTATTCACTTTACGCGTTTCTCGCTTTCCGCGGTACCCTCCGGGTTACATTAACCGCGTAAAGTGAGGGTTAACTATTAATATATATATATATATATATATATATATATATATATATATATATATATATATATATATATATATATATATATATATATATATATATATATATAATATATATATATATATATATATATATATATATATATATATATATATATAAATATATATATATATATATATATATATATATATATATATATTATATATATATATATATATATATATATATATATATATATATATATATATATATATATACTGTATATATATATATATATATATATATATATATATATATATATATATATATATATATATATATATATATATACGTACGTCATTTCAGCAAAAAATATTACATTTCCGTGAATGTATTATATCAAGCACAGTATGAATAGAATATCACTAATATAACAGTACAGTATTTTAAACGAAAACTATTAAAAAACGAGTAACATATCTTGAACATTGGAAGATTAGGTTAAATCTTTTGTTTTCATGTAGTTTATCCTAATTTACATTGAAATACATTACGTTTCAGCAAAACTACTACTGTATTTACTTCTGAGAATATGGAAATGTAATATTTTTGCTGAAATGACGTACGTATTACAGTGGAAAGTGGGATAAAATCGTGACGAAAGCAATGACTTTCGCTTTCTTTCGTTCAAAAGATGTTACCGTAATCGCTTTTTGAATGGTTTTTAGTTAAAAACTGTTGTATTACAATAATATTCTATCCTAATTCACTTGTGATGCAACAGTTTTTTAACTGAAAACGATTAAAAAAACAAGTGTACCGTCTAGCTGATACGGCAGAGCCCTGGTCGCCCTGATCGCAATCAGACCAGAAATTGTGGTGAAATCTTTTAAGAAATGTGGGATTTCGAATGCTCTTGATGGAACAGAAGACGACTTGTTGTGGGATTATGAGGCTAATGAGAGCGTGATTGAGGATGAAGATATTGATGATCCTATGGCTGATAATGGTGTTGATCCATATGACGATACTGTTCAAGGAGAGGACTGGGAGTAGTTGTTTGGTGCTGATGACAAGGAAAATGATTTTGATGGATTTTAATGAAAATATTCAGAAATATAGTATCATAGTATTTATTCAAGTGAATTAGGATAGAATAATATTGTAATACAACAGTTTTTTAACTGAAAACCATTCGAAAAGCGATTACGGTAAAATCTTTTGAACAACAAAGAAAGCGAAAGTCATTGTTTTCGTCATGATTTTATCCCACTTTCCATTGTAATACGTACGTCATTTCAGCAAAAATATTACATTTCCATATTTGTTTCCGAGAATATATTCATTCAGTCACAGTTAAGGTAAAATATACTTGTGATGCAATATTTTAATGAAAATACCCGGAATTTAGAAATACGGTATCGTAGTTTTCTTTTGTTTCAAATTTAATTAACAAAGATTGATGTTTCAAATGTAATGAACAAAAATTTATGTATCTATAAATAAACTTTAAAAAATGAATACTTTATGTTTTACATCGTCCTGTGCTACCATACCATGCATTTGGCTACTTTGGGCTTGCTATGATGACGCAAGAGATCTGCCCTGGCAACTGTACCGACACTCACAGCTGGTGGTGTGTCATTTCCATTGTTTACTGGTAGTTACTGGTAAATATTTTTCAACCTAACAAACCTATTACCCATTTAGAGGTCGACCCCCAATTTTTTGCCAAAAAATTTGGTCTTTAAAACTCGAACTACACACAGGTATATACGGTAGCTCACAAGTGGGGAATGGTTGGCAATTTCTTTGGTTGACCTGAGGAATTGTTTGGCAATCATTTGATTAATTCATTCCAGAATATTGTATACAGTATAGCCAGTTTTTGGAGAGTTCCATATACTATACTGGGATGCTGGATCAAAGCCCCATACCTGTACATACAGTTTCATACATACAACATGGCTTTATCAGATGTAAAAACAATTAATCCACAAACTATCAATACCATACTTACTAATATTTGATATACTCTCTGTAGCTCCATAAAACTCAGCAATACAAGGGTTATTGAATCTGGCAGTAAACTGTTCCCAGATCTGAGGTCTCACACCATTACCAAACATCACTCTCACCTGACAAATAGAGAGAATATTTAAATTATGTAACCAGTAAATGTGAACACAATAATTCCATCCAACAAGGCAAGCCCTACAGACAGGTATTTCCCATCCCAGGCACATCTCATAACTGATTAACACGTTTGTTTTGCAGTTGTTTTTGTGGTCTTTTACACCCTGTTATTAAAAAAAAGTCCAGAGATAGACTAATACTGTAGGTAATCACTTTGAAGAAACAAATGACCCTGTAAATGTAATTAATATAATTTTAAATCAGTTTTCAGAAGTGTATAACAAGATTGAAGAATTATGCGTGATGGTACAACAGTCCCTCATCCAACACAATGGATGCATGATGGTACTAGTTCCTCATCCAACACAATGGATGCATGATGGTACAACAGTCCCTCATCCAACACAATGGATGCATGATGGTACAACAGTCCCTCATCCAACACAATGGATGCATGACGGTACAACAGTCCCTCATCCAACACAATGGATGCATGATGGTACAACAGTCCCTCATCCAACACAATGGATGCATGATGGTACAACAGTCCCTCATCCAACACAATGGATGCATGACGGTACAACAGTCCCTCATCCAACACAAAGGATATGTTCCTGGAAAACCTCGTGTATGGCAGGGGTAAAATTTGATGGAAATAATTGGAATAGAGAAAGGTGATCTCAGTACTTCACAATCAGAAAATTATTTAACTTCAAAAATGTTACATATCCGTACAGTAAATGAACTAGACAAACATCAAAACAATAAACAATAACATAAAATACTGTACAGTAGAGCCACCCAAAATGTAGTTTAGGGACCAATTACATATGGGTCAACATGAACTACATAAACAAGTACTGTATCATTAGTTTCAATGGTAAATAGGAACTGGGGCTGGAAGTACAAAAGAAATGCCAAAATATGCTTAATAACTACGTAGTTAATTTTATGGCATATAAAATGCACTTTTATCTGAAAAATGGCTCAAAAAATCACCCCATGTCCTTTATGTCAAGTTGCTGTTTTCCGTAGGCTAATGAATCCCCTAGTTGCTGTTTTCATTAGACTAAATTCTACCCAGCCCAACTCCAGAATTACAAAAAACTAAATATTTTATTGCTTATTTAAACACATTATTATTACAGTACTGTACTTTTAAGTACAGTGAGTTCTGCTATAACGCGTGTTTTGATAACGCGAATTTGCTCTAACGCGATTTATGAATTCGGAACAATATTTGTATAACGCGATCGCTTGTTTGCTATAACGCGATTTTTGCTTACTATTTCTCCAATTTTGTGGTATTAACTGTGAATATGGTAAAGAAGAATATCTCCAAAAAGCATTCTGATGATAGAATTCCCGGTGATTATCGTAAAAGAAAGGATATAACACTTGAAGAGAAGCTTGATGTTATCAACCTCAAAATCACCCTTCTCCCCCATCAAGTTACATTCATATTTTTTCAAGGTAAAGTGTTAAATTTACTGTATGATTTCATTATTAGATATGAATGTAACATTTATTTAGACTGTGCTATCCTTTGTGTTAGGCTAACTACTAAATTTTTTCGATTTCGAGTAATCTGCACCTAACCCTATTTTCTCCATAAGCCCTGTTATTTCTATTACGCGATTTTCTATAACACGATATTTTACAAGAACACAATTATCGCGTTATAGCAGAACTACCTGTAATTAAAAAAGAAATTATTGTAAATATAAAAGCTGGATCCATACTAACTACTGATTATGATAGCGCAAGACAATTGTGTCCATACGGCAGGCTGCTAACTCTTCAGAGCTAAGCAATAATCGTTTCTGAACTCTGACAAGCATTATCACAGTATCTATTAACCCCTACGCCCCGGTTGACGTTCCAGAACGTCCATCTAGGGTTGTTTGAATGCCCAGCGCGGGTTATCAGGTTCCAGTGTGACTATTTGCGTGTCACGCCACACACTCGGCCACAGGGAAGCTTCTTGAATGCAAGTACCTAATTGTGTTTGTTTTATTTTCATTGATTGTCCATTTTATCATGTTGTATCAGAGTAATATTGCTAAAAGTAGTGTAGTTGTATTGTAGTGTAGTATTAGTGGAAAATAATGCTATGATTATGTTATAAATTTATTTATTTGTGGAATTATTATTCCGATAACTATTTCTATGCATTACTTGCTCTACCCAACACAAAGACAGCCAGACAGCCTGGCGACAGACTGCGTGTGTGTTGCCGAGCACTTTTTATGAAAAATAATGCAAATAAAATATTCTCAATGAATTATTTATAGGAAATAAGTATTATGATCAGTAAATATATGCACTACTGGCCATCCCGGACACAGGCAAGCAAAAAATGGCCGCTAAGTGCGCAGTGACCACGAGTGCTAACCGTCAAAACACTGTCCCCTTATCTCCCTCGCCACTGCAGCCCCTGGGAAGTTTCTAGATGGTCAATATATAGTTTTTCTTACTTCTTTTATATTGTTTTATTATTTAAAAAGGTTTAAATTATTTTTCGAAAAGTTGATTTTTCTCGATTTATCCCACGTGGGAAGTACAGCCAGCAGCACCCTAGCCCGGGGCGTAGGGTTTAATGTCAAACATGCAACATTTATCTTATTATTTCTTTTAGAAAATATCCTTTAGCTTTTGAAAAAAATTAATTATGATGTTAATGGCGATTTTTTTTATTTTATTTTATTTTATTTTTTTTTTACGGGTATTAGCCCACCCGGGCACAGGTCACTGACCCACATCAGGGCCAGGGGGGGCGAAAATGTAATAATAATAATAATAATAAAAATAAAAATAAAAATAAAAATAAAAATAAAAATAATAATAATAATAATAATAATAAAAATAATAAAAATAATAAAAATAATTATAATAATAATAATAATAATAATAATAAAAATAATAAAAATAATAAAAATAATAATAATAATAATAATAATAATAATAAAGAAATACAAAATGAAAAGAAAAAATCAATAGTGAGAAATGCTATATGTACTGTACTATGTTGTGTTGTCAAGTAAGAGAAACAATTGAGACCCTGCAATTGTGTGTAAATGAGGCAGAAAGTCAGATCAGCAACCTGGGACTTGGTCACAATTTTTGTGATGCCATATAGCAGCAGGGTCTACCATTAGACAACACATTATGCTTCCAATATCTTCCCAGGCGGTAGTACCTCCCTGTTGGATGTAATAAGGCAATTTGAAATTGGAGAGGTTCCCAAATAAATTATTCATTAAAACGAAGGCATGTTGTTACCAGAATAGGACATAATGATCATGGTCAGCAAGCTTCTTTAACATTGGACAATGCTGTTGGATGGATAATGTGCAATGAATGTTGGACATAAAACTAGAGTACTATACCATGTGTGCTGAACTTAGCTGTCACCTAGTTAAATTAATACACCATCCATCAAACAAATGTCATTTGCCAAACATCAGTAGACCTTTGTAGGCCTTCAAAATGCTCATTATAACTGGCAAACTCTTAATGCAACTACTGTTCCAATTAAATGGAATAAAGACAAATTGTTTGGTGTAATTCTGAACTGCTTAGGATATTTATTATGTTGACTCAAGACACTTTAGACCTTGAATGTACAAACAATTACCCTTAAAATATATTGTTGCAAGATTTTTCTTTCACATCCCCTTTCCCACTTTGTTGCCAGGCAGTCATATTAAAGAGCAACATGGGTGTCCTCCTTTCCTCTCATTCATTCATTCATTCAAAATGCCTTACCAGATGGGTTCTGCTGTGGTAATCACCTTCTATAACTTGCCCCCACAATTTCAACCTAGTTCACCCATCATTTTATATTGAGAATTAAAACTGAAGTACAGTATAATACAATATAAACAGTATCACACAACATACCCATGTAAGGTTAATTTACAAAATACAATGATTATTAAGCAGAAAGCAGTCTGCTTTAGACAAGAGGCTATGTGAAAAAATTCAGGGAATGCATACCTTATGTTGAGTGTCCTCAGGCATTGGTGGTGTATTGAGGAGATAACGACAGATCTCTCCTACATACTGGGCAACCTGTTTGGGAAGACACATTTACTAATTATTTTTATTTACTTCTACTTCACCTCTGCAAGATCTTTCACACTATGTTGCAAGGTGTCCAGAGTCAAGATCAACACAGACTCTCCCTTCATTTACTCTCATTGAAACTCTCTTAACTGCTTTATCTGAAATGTTCTGCTACGATGCTCCTCTTCCAAAATAAAGTCCTAATTTACCATCATCACTTCAGACAGCCTTTGATTTCTTACGAGTATGTTAGGTTCATGGTCAACACCAAATTGATTAAGGGAGATTCTGATTTTGTTTTATAAAGGGAAAGCTGACAATGTTGAAAAGAGGTAAAATTTTAAATAAGGTTTCCCTAAAATTACCGAGATAATCACACATAAGGATACCAATTATTAGGGAATTACAGATGACAGTGGGTAAAGGATTCAGGAGTGAAGGCACAAGCTTAATATGAAAACTTACTGTACATCCATATTTCTTGGCTTCAACCCAATACTGAGATGCAGAGAACTTGCGACGGATCACTGCAGTATTGCTGAACACCAACACCTGTCCAAAAAGAAGAAATGTTTGGACATACAGGGATGCAGGTATTTAAACTATATATCTGTATGTCAAATCATAGGCTGGGCATGAGATAGAGTAGGAATTGGGATGAAGCAGGGGGGAGACTGCACAAGATATCTTGCCAGGGAGTGGTTGACAGCAAATATAAACCAGAAGCCAGTAAAAATAAATAAATATATATTTACTGTGTTTAGCTATCAAGTGCCAGGTATAACTCGGTTTTCAATTGGCATTTTAGTTGCATCTTTCACCATAAAAAAAAATAAATAAATTTTCAGAAATGCTCACCTCCTAAGAGACATGCATTTAAAATATCTCCAGTTCTCTTAAACCTTGTTTAGCCTGTTAATGTTCAAATCCTACTACTACTCAAAATTCTATTACCACCACTGTAATGTATGACCCTCATGGGTGACGTACTATAATTCATCTGGCTATCGTTATTGATTTTGAAACGGCCTTTGTCTTCATCTAATAATTACCCATTTCCTGATAAGTTTCAAATGCCAGTTTTTAACTCAAATGTTATAAATAAGCTCCTAAGGCAGCTTTGTTTGTTGACTTCTAATTCCATGACAAAAGAGCATTTTGCCCTAGAACTAATGAGAATTTTGCCAATGTTTCCAAGTTTTCACTTTCGTTCATTTTAGCCAAGTGTACTTTTTGAATACAGCACTATGTTGAAGCATGTTTTTAGGTGTAAATAAAAGTACAGTTTAGTGTACATATATTTTTCTTATAATCAGGTCCTGCTAATTCTTCTTGAAACAATTATATTTCATCATACAGTATTTAATAATAACACAGCTCCTGCTATGGGTAGTCCTGTCTACTGTACAGAGTACCAGTTTTAAATTTTTTAATGTTACAACTAAATTCCTAATGCAATCCAGTACATACTGTATATTAATTTAAAATCCAAGATAAAAGGTAAGTTTGGCTAAAAAGCAAACTCTTGAATTTACCCAAAAATAACACAATACTTCGTAAAACAAAACAAAACTATTACTGTACCACTTTTTCAGTAATACTATAGTAATGTACACTACTTGTACAGGAGTGTGAATAAAATTGTAAATACTGTAAATGGATATGATATGTGAATGTAATGAAAAAAGTGATCAACTTTCATTGTTCTATTTTCTTCACTTACCTGTCCAATACCAACCATACCACCAGCAGAATGATAAAGAGGAAGTGGGTTGTAGAGCACATCATCATCTCTCAGTCCAGCCATGAAGTGAACAGCAGTACAGAAGAACATGTACCTGTCAGGTGGTACAAATAATTTTTAAAAATGTGAGCAGAAATTGAAGTATGTTTCAAATGCTTCCAATAAATTAATAAAATAAATACTATTTTTACAATATAACAATCCAGACTAACTATTGTCCAAACAAATTCATGATACACATAAATATTGGGATTATATTTTTTGGAGGGGCTCAAATCTACAATCTTTCATAGCATGTATGCTGCTCCATGCAGTTAAAATTGGAGGCATTATGGCACAAAGGCATTAGTCTATATTTAAAAGACTTAACTCAGTACCAAATTCAGAATCACAAATTATTAGCTGGGTGTTCAATCTCTCTATGTCAACTGTACTACAGGTACATGTGCCATGAGAAAGGACTAAAACAGTCAGTTGTCATTACCCCAGCCTGATTAATCTGAACTTCATTTAAGGATCCCTATGAATGATTTGAGTTCATGGGTACTCAATGCTTGATTCTCATGCCACTATTATTTATTATTAAGCATAGCAATAATATTTTTGTCCATAACACTTCAAAATGTATAAAATCAATTAAGTTTTATCTATTTATTGCATTTATACATTGAATAGTGAAAATGAACAATAATCAATATACAGTAAACCCCGATATAACAGACTATATCTGGATCCGAAATAATAACAGACTCGATCTGTTGTATGCCAACATAGTCCAAAGTGACCATGTGGGTCACTTTTCACCAACACCACCAACAGAGTGGCGGCCTGCAGGATAGTAGAATAAACGAAGTTGCTCTACACGTTAGTAACATGATGGAACTGATTGGTTGTAAGTGGTAGGGGAGGGGGGGGGAGGAATGGTGTGTAATAATGACCGCTGCACTGCCAGGCACAATTGAACAGCTAACTTGTAAGTACAGGGCGTCCTCGCTTAACATCGGGGTTATGTTCCTGAAAACGCGACGTTATGCGGATCAATTTTCCCCATAAGAAATAGATAGAATACGGGAGTTACATTCCCCAGCCTCCCTTTGCCCCATGAAAAAAGATACATATACAGAAAACCATTGCCAATTTTGTAGAAAATAGTAAATAGAACTACAGTACTAAGTTTGTATTGATACTCACCGATGGGCGGAGGTGGTAGAGCGAGTGTGTGGTGGGTAGTGAAACAAAGAAGGAGGGTGGGAGTGGAGGAGGGTGGGAGAGGAGGAGGGTGGTGAGTCACTGAGACTCTGCGGCTGCCGCCTCCTCCTGCTTCCTGCGCTGACTGGGGTTCCTCCGCCGCTGCTTGCTCCTCCTCCGTTGATGTTTGCTTATCCTCCGTTGTTGGCGGGAATGTCTCGGCAGCAACCGTATCTGAACTGGCAGCTTCACCAGTCATCTTTAAGTTGTGGAAGTTATGCCGATGCTTAAATCGTTGAAACCAGCCTCGGCTGGACGTAAAGGTCTCTTCCTTCAATCCTTCACCCTCTGTTTCCTTCATGTCGTCAAACAACGATCAGGCCTTATGTTGGATAACCATAAGGCTCACAGGGTCATTGCGTTGATTCTGGTCCTCCATCCACATTGCCAGCATCTTTTCCACCTTTTCTATCACAGTGCTTCTAGTACAAGTCGTCTTAGTAGCACTCAGAGAAGAACCATTTCCAGCACTAACGTTAATCCTGTCAGCGTTGGTCCAGATAGTACGCACTGTTGTGGGGGTTATATCAAGCACAGCGCCTTTGTCCACAGCACATTCCCCTTTTTCAAATCAGGTTAACACATCCATTTTCATTACAAGTGTAATAGTCTTACGTTGCCTCTTCACTATACTAGCATCAGTAGCACTTGATGGGCGCTTGGAAGCCATTTTGAATGGTTAGAGTACAGTTTTAAAACAAAAGCACTTAAGCACACACGAATGATGTGAAGTCGTAACAGAGACTGGCTTGGCGTCGCTTGGGGACGCTGTGACTTTCTGCGAGTGAGGGCAGCGCGCCGAGCCGAGAGAGCGTAGCGCAGCCACACAAAAATGGGTGATGCGCCGTAGAAAGTAGTCCGTGACAATGCAAAACGACATAGTATCGGATCACCGGGACGTTAAACAAATTTTTAGTCTCTAAAGTTCAGCAACGTAGTACCGAAACAACGTTAAGCGGGACGACGTCAAGAGAGGACTTACTGTACTGTATTAAGGATTTTCATCATATTTTTTTTCTAGTAAAAAATAATTTGGGTCACAAATATTCACTATAATATGTGTAAATCAGCCATATAAAGAGTGGGCATGTCAAGTAAGTTGAATACTAAAGGGAAAATTTTTTACACAAGGAAGAGAATGCAGAGTGGATGGGATCGTACATGGGTATGTCGCCCTTGTATGTATATTATGTATGTTGTATGTATACCATGTATGTACTCTATATATACACATTATTTCTCTAGTCAGTAGCGTGTGGTAATGCCCGTTTCATGTCACCACACGCTTAGATAAATGTGCCTGGCGACATCTGGAAGCTGCTAGTATACCACTTACCACATGTCGCCTGAGAGGTCAGAGTGAGGTCAGTTGACCCCTATAGGAGTGTAAGGACTACCCGCGCTTGTAAGCGCACCTTGTATATTTCCGTTAATAAGAACCTACAGAACTCTACATGTGTTTATGTTCGCCCTTGTAGTTGGAACCAAGTACCCCGAACATCTCCATGGCGCAGTGAGTATCAAGTGATCGATTAAGTGGAAATAAGTGCGTTCGTGTGAAATCAAGACCGGTAGATCTCCTCCGTCAACTCCGTCATCCGTGCCATTGTCTCCCACAAAAATTTGTTTGAATGACCAACGAGTTTTGAGCAGTGTGCAGTGACCGCAATTTCCTGTGAAGTGTCTTTAAGTGCCCCTCGTGTGTGTGTGTGTAGTGTTAAAGTGTGTGTCCTTGTTTTAAAGGATTCCCTAAGGTGGAAGGCTGATATAGGGCATTTGTGAGGAGTCAGCGCGACCGTCCCCGGCTGCCTGGAGGGTAACTACCCCCACTGCTCACCCCCCACCGCCTCCCTCCGCACTCCACCGCGCCTACACACACCAACCCACGCACTAACACACTGACTGCGGTCATTACTTCATATATATATTATATATATATATATATATAAGTTACTTATCTGTGTATTCAATTAATTTTGTTGTCTCAGATCTGGTTGATACGACGGGCTGACCGGTCAACACTGATTTGAGATACAATATACAGATAAAGTAATTATGCCCCGGGCCTCACGCAGGGTTGTCCCTAGCGCCCGGATGAGTTAGACGGATGACAGCTCTACAGAGATGGATGACCAGTCAGTGCGCGACGCCCCACCCTCTCCCAACACATCTCCCAGCCACACCCCTCGACCCTCAGCCTCGTCCTCAGAGATAATTGCTCTGATGAAGCTTATGAGGGAGAAGCGGCGTCTGGACGAAGCAAAAATATGTGCTGAGGACCACCAACGGAGATTGGAAGATAACGAAAGGTTTGCAGCTTTGATATCTAGCCTCACTGCTAATCAAGCCCTTGGCCCTTCCACTACTCCGGTACCGACTGGCTCAGATACCTCGTCAACGCCCTCTACCAAAGTGGTTGTCCAACCCCCACCCACCTTGAAGCCAGATGAGACTTTCCAGACTTTTCGTGAGTGGTGGCGACGGTGGACTGATTATGCTACAATGGTGGATCTCCAGAGCTTGCCACAGCCCAAACAACTCATTCAGCTACGTATGTGCCTGTCTTTGGGAACACAACATGTGTTGGAACATACGTTGCAAGTGCCCCCGACGTCTTTGTTGTCTGTAGAGGAGGTACTGGATGTTCTAGAACGGCACATCAATGGTCAGCAGAATGAAGCTCTCCGCAGGAGGGAAGTGTTTAGCTGTAGACAGATGGAGGGCGAGACTTTTGATGATTTCTACGTACGACTCAAGAGAGCCTCGGAAGAGATAGACATATGTCCCGGTAATCACCAGCAGTGCGAGGAGACCCAGTTGAAGCAGGTGATCCTGATGGGTGTTAAGGACGAGGAGCTTGTCCAACGCCTCACCTCCTTTGACTCTTCCTCTCCTCTTAAGGATGTGTTGACAGTATGTCGCTCCTACGAGGCTGCCAGGTGTGCTACCTCTGCCATCCGAGCTCCCCCTACAGCCATACAAGAAGTCTGCCCCAACGCCTACGCCCACCACGCCCACGCCCGGCTCCCTTTGCAACAGCTGTGGTAGGCAGCACGGAACACAGGTGTGTCCAGCTGCCAAGTCTACCTGCGACAGTTCTGACCGCAAGGGCCACTGGTCACTGAAAGTACGGTGCCCAGCCAAACACGTCCAGTGCAATGTGTGTGGCCGTCTGGGCCACTACGACAAGTGTTGCCCGACCAAAAAAACCCAAGGGACAGCGTCGGCGAAAGCAGCAGAGCCCTTCCACCAGTGAGGGCCACCCACAGTCGCCAAATCAGAGGCACAACGACCCTGGACAAAGCCCGACCCATATTAGGAGGGTGTACTCCTCACGTCCCAGGACCAAAGTTCCCCAGCACGTCAGCGTCATCGTGACCTACGGCAGTGTGTCATCCTGTCTCGAGATGCTGTCCGACACCAGCGCTGAGGCTACGGTCATCGGTCCCCAGCATTTGCAATGCTTGGGGCTCTCTCCAAGTGATCTAGGACCGCCTCCCAAGGACCTCCGCGTCACGGCAGATGGTTCACAGATGGCCCCAGTCCTAGGTTCACTCTATGCACATGTCACCTTTGGCAACAAGTCGTGTCAAGCCTGGATTGACGTGCATAATGGTGTCCCGACTCCTTTGCTGTCCTACAGACATTGCCAAGAGTTGGCCATCATCTCCCAGGACTTCCCAACACCGATTTTCGAGGTAAAATACGCCAACAGGGTGCACGAAGGGAGCAGCAACTACCCTGCTGCCGCCCTACCCCTACCTCTGGCCAGTGACACCTCTCCTTCGGTAGTTGTCCCTGCTGCTTCACGTCTCCACGCCTTGGCTCGCCTCCACGACAGTCACTGTGGAGCCGAGGCCACCAAACGGCGTGCAAGACAGACTGTGTTCCGGCCTGGCATCGACCCCGACATCTCCAATGCTGTCCAGGCGTGTAAGCCCCGCCAAGTACTACAACCCAGCCAGCAGCAGGAACCCTTCATGAGTGACGACAACCCCACCCGCCCCTTAAGTCTGAGTCGGCCGACTTTTTCTGTGTCTCAGGAGAGTCCTTCCTGGTTATCGTCGACCGTCTCTCTGGTTGGCCGGTTGTCATCAAGTGCGGTAATGATACGACATCTGCCGCCACCATCAGCAAGTTCCGCCACTACTTCCGTTACGTGGGCGTTCCTGTACGCCTGCGAACCAACGGAGGGCCCCAGTTCACAAGCCGGGACTTTGCTGCGTTCCGGCATGTGTTGTCACCGCCTCATTACCTGCAGTCCAACGGCCACGCTGAGGCTGCTGTCAAATCCCTGAAGCAACTCATCCTCAAAGTGGCCCCTTCTGGGAATATTGACTGCGAGGCCTTCGACCAGGGTCTCCTTGAGCTCCGCAACACACCCAATTACACCGGTCGCTCCCCTGCCCAGGTCTTGTATGGACGCCCCCTCCGTTCTTGTGTACCTGCTCACCCTCAATCCTTCTCCAAGGAGTGGCAGGCCAAGACAGAGAATTTTGATCGCCGAGCCGCCAAACGTATTCAAGACGTCGTCGCCCGCCACAACGACCACGCCCGTCCTCTCCCCAGGTTGAGTGTCGGCACCCAAGTCCGCGGTCCGTATAGGTCCCATATTCCTCAGTGATTAAGCCCTCGAGGCTCAGAACGGGATCCACAGGCACGTCCGCCAAGACTTTTTATGAGCGAGTAGGAGGGGAGGTGTATGTATATTATGTATGTTGTATGTATACCATGTATGTACTCTATATATACACATTATTTCTCTAGTCAGTAGCGTGTGGTAATGCCCCTGTTTCATGTCACCACACGGTGTATGTATATTATGTATGTTGATCTGGAAGCTGCTAGTATACCACTTACCACATGTCGCCCAAGAGGTCAGAGTAAGGTCAGTTGACCCTATAGGAGTGTAAGGACTACCCGCGCTTGTAAGCGCACCTTGTATATTTCCGTTAATAAGAACCTACAGAACTCTACAGGTGTTTATGTTCGCCCCTGTAGTTGGAACCAAGTACCCCGAACATCTCCAGCCCTCATTGGCGGAGAGAATGTAACTAAGCATGGCCGGTGTCGGCAAGTCCTGAGTGTGCTGTCTTGTAACTTCTACCCGTGGTGTAATGGTCAGCATACTCGCCTCGCAAGCGGGTGGACCCGGGTTCGATCCCCGGGCAGAGTGAAACTATGCGCAAGTTTCTTTACGCCATTTATCTCTGTCTACCCAGCAGTAATTGGGAACCTGAATGTTAATCAATTTGTGGATTGTATTCTGGGGTAATGATTAGCCAGTGCAGTTGGTGAGTTGTCCGATCTTCTCAGATCTATTCCACGACACCGGGTCATGCAGCTCGTTAACTCAGAGTGTGGTTGTTGTGTTGGCGACAGCTTCTACACCTTAAACAAATTCCTGCTGAGGTGGCCCTTGGGCCGGCCATCCTCGTTACAGGAAGGGCAACCATTATAAAACTTCTACCTTGCATTATGGATTTTCATTTTTTTTTTCTTCTAGTAAAAAATAGCTCCAGGAGAGGACCAAAGTGCTCTGTAATGTATAGGCATTATGCAGGGTGGGGCTAAATGGGGTACAGTATTATCATAATGGACCCGAGTTTTTATTTTTTATTTAACACTCTGGCAGACCGTGGCGCATATAGGCATCAATGATAATCTCATCCAATTGGTATTGTCGTCCTAATGCATCATTCAAGAGAAAAATATTCACCAAAAATTTAGTAATTCCGATTAACATTCGAGATTTTGGTGCATCGTTCTGGTAAGCCTTCTCCCTCATGGTAATCCATCATTAAATGGTTACTTAGCAACAGTAAAGCCGACCATTAGACATCATTGCTGTCCCAGCAGTAAAGCTATAAGGCTGAATGAGTGAGCCCTTTAAATTTTATCTTGATATCCACCCCACACACTTGTGCCATCCACTGTTCAGTAATAGTAGCCTGTAAAGTGTTTGTAAAATAAGTACAGGTGTTTACAGTGCATTCATTTATTTATATTTTACAATCCTTTACTTAAAGTAGTAAAATTTGTAACCACCATGTGTGTAAAATGTGCCATAAGGCCCTTCTGTAGATACAACAAATTGAGCCCTCTATAAAAGTGATGAAAAGTGTTATGAAATGTTTTATAAGTCTCCATATGAGTGTTTATTTGTTTATTTTACAATGTTCCTCTTGCTCAAACTTGTAAGACTCACTTGTGTGAACTGCATAATAAATTCCCTTCTGTGGATACGATTAATGTGTCAGCTATCTGTACTAGTGATGATAAATGTGGTCAAGTGTTTTATAAGTGCTTATAAAGTGGTTACTGTTATATTTCAGAATACTTTAGCTCTTATATAATGTATAGTACTGTAAGTTACAATCCAGTATATGTATAACAGAACAGTACACAACGTGGAGATGGATTTTTTTTTCTAAATTCGCTTACAGGAAATTACAATCAAACCGTACCTGCTAGCAAAATTCTAAAACCAACAGAACATACCTAGACATACTTACTCATGCAACAACAAAACTAAGAAAAATATATGAAAATAAATGCATAACTAAAGAGTGAAAAATTTTGGACAACATGTACAGTAAGTCCTCATTATATGAGAGGGATGTGTTCCTGAAAACCCTCACATGAATCAAAATTTTCTATATCGAATACTTAGTTAAATGACAAAAAATAGGATGCAATCCAAAACCCAAAATGAAAATGTTCCAGACCCATTTTCAAGACAAATAAACCATAAAATAAATCAATACAATATTATAAAAAACAAACAAAAATAAAACAAGTGTACAGTACAGTGTACTTAACAATAAAACCAGAGACCTCAACTTGGGTAGACGAGATGATGAGGTGGTGGTAGTGGTTTTACAGAGTGGGTGATGGTGTTGGAGTGGCACCTGCAGTCATCAGGGTTGGAATCTATATCAGGGAGTATGACATCCCGCATAAGGCTGAACTTTGCTCACATTAATTGAATTCCTGGTAGGAAGAGTGTCTTTGCATATGAGTGAATTTGCATATGCCGAACTCGCATATATCGAGGACTTACTGTATTTAATTTTTTTCCAATTTACCAGCCTTATTATTACTCATATAAATTTTTTATTTAACCAATATAATTTGTAAAAATGTCTGTTTTTTTCTTATTTAACACTTATTGTCCTACTTGGTTGTTTGTTGGCTAAAATACAAGTTGATTATAACTGTAATGCATGACTTTCACATTAAAAAAATCACTTTTCTCTTGTTTCATATGAAAGAACAATCAATTGTTGGTTTTATATGAAAAAAATAAATAAATAATCTGATGAAAAATCTATCTGAAGGAGAAACAGCTAGTGTGTGGCTCTTCTGTGCAAGATGGTCACAATTAGCCCATGTGTTGGAGGGGTACTTGTCATAAATAAGGCGAGTGTTAACGGACCTGAGTCTGTAATATATGAACTTAGTCTGAACGGGTCTGTTAAAGCCAAGGTCTGTTATATTGAGGGTTTACTGCATACTAGTACACTGTAGCTACAAAGAATCAGCTGTTCAATCTGTTTTAAGAAAACATTCACTTGTTTCATACTGTTTACATAATATATTTGTCACAGCTATATACCTTCTTGATCACCACCACTCTTGGATTTCTTCTATGGTAACCTTATTCACTGTATGGAGAGTAACTTGAGATTATCACTAACCTGTAATGTTTGATGATAGCAGCCTTGGGTAGTCCTGTTGTTCCAGAAGTATAGATGTAGATCAGCTTATCCCTGGCAGAAACTGAGTCTATCTGTGGTGGAGGAGTAGGATTGGAGGCACTCAGCAGAGGATCTAAGTTCTTGGCCCCTACAGTGAACACAAATTAAGAGTTAAGTAAATACATTCATATTTTATCATTAAGTTTTATTGTTTTCAATTTTAATTATTTCTAGTGACAGCTGATGTCATATACCAGTACTCCAATCACACTACTATTGTATGGTCAATTAACCAACATGAAATAAATATTCTAAGCACTACTGTTAGAGTTAGACATAGTTAGACCTTGTTAAGTTAAATTTAGTTTGGTTAGGTTACATTAGATTTAGCTTGGTTAAGCAATAAGCAAAGTTAGGTATTGTTAGGTTTGTTTAAGTTTTAGTCAGGCTATGGTACGTTTTGATATCTGTGTTTGAGTTTGGTTTGATATGTTAGACTATTCTAGAATAGGTTAGGTTTTCTAAAAGTGAGATGATATAATACATTCAGTGAAGAATGATAACTTGTCAACTAAATTGAAGTAAAACTATGTACAGCTAAACTATGTTAAGTGAAGTTTACCTGCAATCTGATAATGGCTCAAATTACATACCCTTTAAGGTGAGTGTTGCATTACCACAGCCAGACACATACATTGGAAAGCTTAACTCATCCTTGACTGCATCAACAGCTGTAAGGATTATATACAATCAAATTATATGAAATTAATTACCTTCATTCTACATTAACAATACCTGCATCACTGTGAGGACAAATTTACCTCTCAGAGAACTTGTACATTCATCCAAAAATTTATGCACTGTAAAATGGAAAGTTCTATTACTGATATGTATACAGTCAGCAAATTTTTATAAATGTTACTTGTGTTACTTTCAAGTCTTCTCCCAATATGAAGCTGGTTGGCCATTAACCCCAAAAGTACACCCTTCCTTCATTAACTATCATTCACCCATTCTTCATGCTATAATGGATCTGTACTGCTTCGGTATTTCCCTTCCATAAGCCCAAAAATATCTATCTGATTTATCCTTGTTTACTCCTGTTTAATATACTCAGATATTATTTGATTGCTATTATCTCCTTTACTTTTTCAGTGATATCTTTTTCTGTTATATCTAGATATACTGTAGTACCTAAATAGCACAAGATAAATTGTGACTTCCTGATGTAATAAATAAATTTTATAATACTACATCTGATAAAAAGTCTACAGTGCTATTACCTTCCTGCAAGTCTTCTCCACAAATAATGGCCTTTGAATCAACAATCTGGACTGAGTGTTTCAAAGGAACAAGTCGCAAGTTGAAGTTTATTAGAGCTGGAACAAGTCCCACCTGGCAAAGATAGTTTTGTAATACATATATTGTACCAAGAGAGACATCTTCAAAATACTTCCTTAAACACCTGCCTTTACTCACATGGACACAGGGATGGCCTGAAGGGTCTGCAACCCCTACAATTACAGAGGGACCCCAAGTTATCAATGAATCAATCTTTTCCTTAGTTATACAGTACTGATAAAAGTCGAACAACCTACTTTTAAGCCTTTATTGTCTTCAACAAACAGCCTCACATTTCATTTACGAGTTTATGATATAAATAATAGGCACAGGCAAAGGAAATATTTGATGTTTTTTTTTTACTGCAGAGATTAGGAAAACACTTTTTTTCTAGTTAGAGGCAGTATAGGGGCCCCTCATGGCATTTTGAACAGAAACTGCACTACCACAGAACAAATAAACAGCATACAGTACACTGAAAGAAAAAATAAAGAGATGGAAAGACACAAGGAAAAAGGAAAGTGAATATAAAAATTCTTGAAAGAGCAACATGGAAATGGTTAACTGCATTAGACCAATAATGTATTGCGTGATTGTTATCAGAAAAAAATCCATTAACGGGCAAAACTACAACAAATTTGTCCAAATATTCAAATAAGGAAGTTAAATATCGACAGTATATTAGATTCCATACAACTGCATATGTTTGCCTTATCTTAATTTATGAGATCTTCATATCATAACCAATAAAAGAAAATATGCTTAAGTGGTTTACACACCTTAGCACATCCAAGCCAGATACACACATACTCTGGACAGTTCTGCATAAACAAAGCCACAGTGTCACCATGTTTGTAGCCTTGTTCCACCAAGAAGTTGCCAACACGGTTGCTATATTCATCAATCTGAAATGTAAGTTCAAAGTAGAACTGTCCAATATATATATATATATATATATATATATATATATATATATATATATATATATATATATATATATATATATATATATATATATATATATATATATATATATATATATATATATATATATATATATATATATATATATATATATATATATATATATATATATATATATACAGTATTACTCGCTTAACGCGCTTTCATAGCGTTTTATGTCTGGCAGTGCCTTGCCAAAGCTGAACTTTCACTTAAGGCATTTTTCATCATATACGTGAGTGTCCGGTCAAAACTATTTTTAGATTCGCACCACCCCCACCCGCCACCTGCCTGACTGCCTGTTTTAGCTCATAAAATTCACAATTACCAACAGAATATAATTTACATTGCTGGAATTCTTATAATTTGGTGATCATTTTGAATATAAACAACATATATTTTGCATTAAACATACAATTTTTAGATAAAAATTGTTCTTCTGGGTAATTATGTTATCTTTTGTCCAAATATATGACATTTTATTCAAAATATTCCTGGTCTTACAAGAATCCAGCAATGTCAATTATATTATCCTAACTTTAGTTTGAGGTATTATTTATTAAAATTTAGTGGTTATCCCACATCTCCTTGGGACGGTTGGTGGGGGGGGTGGGGGGAGGGAGGGAGGACCGACCGACCGACCATCTGTTACCCGTGATGTATTTTATTAACTGAAGATATTTGTTTTAGCTCATAAAATTCATACAAATTACCGAATCAAATATAATTTACATTGCTGGAATTTTATAATTTGGTGATCATTTTGAATATAAACAACATATATTTTGATTAAACATACAATTTTTAGATAAAAATTGTTCTCAAAATAATTATGTTATCTTTCCAAAATATATGACATTTATATTCAATATTCCTGGTCTTACAAGGAATCCAGCAATGTCAATTATATTATCCTAACTTTAATCCGAGGTATTATTTAATACTAAATGTTAAAAACTCTTGATGGAGGTTGGTGGGGGGTGGGGGAGGGGACTGACCACGCGGTTGGAAGAGGGAAGGCAAGGTGGGGTACTTTGATTGACAGATAGTGTCGAAGAATATATTTTTTTTTTATTAACTGAAGATATTGTTTTAGCTCATAAAATTCTTTAAAATTATCCGGCCAGAATATAATTTACATTGCTGGAATTCTTAAATTTGCTGATCATTTTGAATATAAACATCATAGATTTTGCATTAGACATACAAATTTTAGATGTAAAGTTTATTCTGAGTAAATATGTTATCTTTTTGAAAATATATGACATTTATATTCAATATTCCTGGTCTTAGAATCCAGCAATGTCAATTATATTATCCTAACTTTAGTTTGAGGAATTATTTATTACTATACCTGGTTTTCCCCAAAATTTTCTCAGAGGGAAGAGCCAGTGAGTGTAGTGTGAGAGAGGGGAGGAGTTGAGTCCATTATTTGAATGGACATTAACTTGGCGACTGTATTTCTCTATTTCTTAGTATTAATTGTGTGTATGCTTATCATAAAAATTAAGATGTTATTTTTACTACAACATAGTTACTTGTCGTCCAAAAAGTGGAGTTTGGGAGTCGGGCTGGGTTCTATGGAATTAATCCATATGTTCTGTTATTCAGGTTTTCTGACCTGGTTCATGCTTAGTGTTATATATATATATATAATTATATATTTTTTCTAACATCTTACTCCTATTTTACTATTTTAGCTGGAACATGTCACTGTGCACAGCAGACAGACTTCAGTCTCATAAGATAACGCTTTTTAAGTTATTAATGACTATACAGTAGTATTGTACTGTATCTTGTCAATAATGTAGTCCATTACATAAAAAAATAACATTCCTCTCTTGCTGGTTTTAAATACTGTAAAGTGCCTTCAAAATTCTCATGTTAAATTATCTGGGAAAATTAAATACAGTTGTGCCCCGCTTTACGTGGTCAATTGAACCCACAGGGTACCGCATTAAGTGAAAACCGCGTTAAGTGAACAACAGAACATATGGGATTAATTCCAATAGAGACTGGCCCGACCCCCAAACTCCACTTTTTAACGACACACAACTATGTTGTAGTAAAAATATTATCTTAACTTTATGATGGTATGCACACACAATTAATAATTAAGAGAAATATCAATAATATTAGGTTTTTTAACACTTACATTAGTAGAAAAGATGGCTGGGCACACGGGGATGGGGGGTTGGTTCCGAGGCAGAGGGCAGATTATTGGCCCTCACCTGTATCACTTGTATCAATTGTATCACTATCCACCACAGAGGCTTGCAGGGCCTCTTTGTCAAACCCCTCAAAGTCCATATAAGTCCATATCCTCACTATAATTATCACTATCACTGACTTGGGCCGGCTGTGGTGGGTGGCGGGTGAAGAACTTGGTAATGTTTTGATGACTGGGCGACCTTGTGCGCATCGTGCCTGCGCCGCTTCCCGCGTATATGAGTAGATGAACCGCGTTAAGTGAAAGTTCGGTTCTGGTGAGGCACCACGTAAATGAGAAATCGCGTTAAGTGAAACTGCGTAAAGCGGGGTAATACTGTACTGCACAATGTTTCCTCCTAAAACTAGTTAACTACTCTGCAGTAAAGTACAGTATTTTGAAACATGAGGATAGACTTGCTAACCTGAGCAAATGTCCATTCTTGTCCTTCAAATATGAGTGCAACCTTATTAGGATTCCTCCTAACATTTTCCATGAACACTTTTGGGAGGTTGGTATTACAGTAGAGGGCCCACTTGAGTTTGGCCATTATTTTGAAATACCTGTACCCTGCACTGAAAGTAAGAAGACCATTAAAATATACTGTATAAACATCAAGAAACCTCGCACATCATTTTTGTTAATTATAAGCCAATATCACTAAAAATATAAAAATATATATATTTTATGTACAGGTAGTACAGTACATCACACACCTAAAGATATTATTCTGCATAACACCATTAAATTTTAAAGACCTTATAACAATGAGCTTTAATATAAAAAAATAATGCAAATGTGGAAAATAATCAAGTGGTTATTACTGGTACACAGTACAGTACAGTGCTGCATAAACAAGTGTTTAATATAGAGCCACATGACAGACAAAACCATCAGATATCTTTAATCACACAAGTTATAACTTTGCCAATGATGAGCTATAAGAGGGACAACCATAATTTGTAGAGTATTTGTCTTAATGCCTTATGCAATGTAAGCACATGTAAAAAATAGGAAGTACAGTACCCGGTACAGCACAAAGTACACGACAAACTGAAGTACAGTAAATGTTCGCTTGCACAATAAATGGCTGGTGAAGGTTATATATGCAAATTTAAGATCCTCTTATTGGTTTGGGCACTATGAACATGGAGAACTAAGAAGTAACTGATGCAAATGCAAACTCACATGAGATCTCTGGGGAGAGTCATGTACGCAAGCCAGAGAGTGTGGTAGCCACCAGTGGTGATGTAGATACCTGCAGCTACAGATGCCAACTGCAGACTGCTCAGTTGAGGCAGTGAGAACCCTCCAATTGACAGTCCATTCTTTCCAGCTGCCCACAAGGCACTTGTCACCCCAACAATTGCTGCAGTTCGCCACATGGCTTAAAACTGAAAAAAAAATATATAATAATAATAATAATAATAATAATAATAATAATAATAATAATAATAATAATAATAATAATAATAATAATAATAATACAATAATAATATAAAAAAAAATAAATAAAAAAAAATTATATATATATATATATATACAGTATTACCCCGCTTAACGAGGTTTCGCTTAGCGCGTTTTACCGTATACGCGGTGCCTCGCCAGAGCCGAACTTTCACTTAACGCGGGTTTTTTCCACGTATACGCGGTGAGTGTCCGGCTCGAGAGCTATTTTTAGATTCGCCCCACCCGCCACCCTGCCTGACTGCCTGTTTTAGCTCATAAAATTCATACAAATTACCCGCCAGAATATAATTTACATTGCTGAATTCTTACAATATGATGATCATTTTGAATATAAACATCATAGATTTTGCATTAGACATACAAATTTTAGATATAATGTTTACTCTGAGTAAATATGTTATTTTTGTGCAAAATATATGACATTTATATTCAAAATATTCCTGGTCTTACAAGGAATCCAGCAATGTCAATTGTATTATCCTAACTTTAGTTTGAGGTATTATTTATTAAAATTTAGTGGTTTTCCCCCCAAAAATTTCTCGAGAGGGAAGAGCCAGCAGTGTAGTGTGAGAAGAGGGGGAGGGAGTTGAGTCCATTATTTGAATGGACATTAACTTGGCGACTGTATTTCTCTTAAGTATTAATTGTGTGCATGTACCATCATAAAATTAAGATGTTATTTTTACTAGAACATAGGTATTGTGTCGGAAAAAGTGGAGTTTGGGGGTCGGGCCAGTTTCTATTGGAATTAATCCCATATGTTCTGTTGTTCACTTAGCGCGGTTTTCACTTAACACGGTACCCTGTGGGTTTTATTGACCGCGTTAAGCGGGGTACTACTGTATATGTATATGTATATGTATATGTATATATATATATATATATATATATATATATATATATATATATATATATATATATATATATATACAGTGGCCCCTCGGTTAACGAACTCAATCCGTTCCAGAAGGTCGTTCGTTAACCGAAACCATTGTTTCAATGGGTTTTTGGGTAATTGGTTCCAGCTCACCGAAAATTTCCTAAATTCAACAAAAATGGTAGAAAAGTTCACTTACTTTGAGGTGTGTATGTAGAAGGCTCCTGGATGATGATGATGATGATGGGATTTAGAATGGGGGTGGAGGAGAAGGAAGAAGAGAAGGCATTGGGGTGGAAGAGAAGTCACCCCATGGTGCCATTTCACCCATAAAATTTTAGCTCTCTGGTTTAATTCAAGATTATTTTCTTTAAATCAACGCTGCACTGCATTATATATTGTCAATATATAAAATATATTTCAAAATGACCAATAATTTGCTTGGAAACACAGAAAAAAAGCGTTTAGTTGAAGAGAGTCTCAAGCAAGATGTTACCTCCAGTGAAAACAGAGAGAGACTGACGCCTGTTTGCTGTGTTAAGAGGCTGGATGCCGCGCATTAAACTAGTCACTTTACCTTCAATTTTGTTCAATAATTGTTAAAATGACTAAAAAATTGAATATTAAACTTTTAAAATTATTGAATAGTATAAACTTCTTGATATTTACAAAAATAGTAAGGAATTTAAGCCCTAGAACCGATTAATGTATTGGCGGACTGATACTAAAGCTGGTTGCCCGGTCAGTGCAAGCGAAAACATGTTGAGGTCGGTTCGTAAGAAGTTCGTTAAGCGAATTTTTTTTCGTTAACCGAATTGAAGATCCTTATGGAAGGCAGTTCGTTAATCGAAATTACGTTAACCGAGGTGTTCGTTAAACGAGGTCACTGTGTATATATATATATATATATATATATATATATATATATATATATATATATATATATATATATATATATATATATATATATATATATATATATATATATATATATATATATATATATATATATATATATATATATATATATATATATATATATATATATATATATATATATATATATATATATATATATATATATATATATATATATATATATATATATCTTGATAAATCACACGGGAAAATGGAAACCTCCTCTGTATATATACACCTTTGGTTTACTTTTAGTCTGTTACTCACCCTGAAGATGTGAATTTAATGTAAAAGCTTTGGGAACTTGTGTTTTTCTTTCCTTGTGGTTATCAGCATATATATATATATATATATATATATATATATATATATATATATATATATATATATATATATATATATATATATATATATATATATATATATATATATATATATATATATATATATTTATTAGCCCAATAAAGCACGCGACTCTACATAATCAACACTCTCAACCCACCAGGATTCGGAACTCACGGCACAAGCCTAAGGACTGGACCGGGGAACGCTAACCACTGACCACCAGATACTAAAACAGTCCTAGACTTTTTTATATTTCATACAAAGCCTGTTCAACGAGCTTATGGCGCCGGAACTTCTATTGGGGACCACCAGATCACTTAGGTGGTCAGAGTAACGTTTTTACCAACCGCTTCAAACACGAGGATCCATATATATTTCATTAGCCCAATAAAGCACGCCGGACTTTCTACATACAACAACACCTCAACCCACCAGATTCAACCCACGGCACACAAGCCTATGATGTGACCGGGAACGCAACCACTGGACCACCAGGATACTAAAAGCAGTCCTAGACTTTGTTATATTTCACACAAAGCCTGTTCAACGAGCTTATGGCGCCGTGAACCTTCTAATGGGGACCACCAGATTACTTAGGTGGTCAGAGTAACTTTACCAAACTGCTTCAAACACGAGGATCCATATATATTTTATTAGCCCAATAAAGCACGCCGGACTTTTACATACAATCAACACCTCAACCCACCAGGATTCAACCCACGGCACACAAGCTTCCATGACTGTGACCGGGGAACGCTAACCACTGGACCACCAGGATACAAAAGCAGTCCTAGACTTTGTTATATTTCACACAAAGCCTGTTCAACGATTTATGGCGCCGTGAACCTCTAATGGGGACCACTCGCGGTATATATATATATATATATATATATATATATATATATATATATATATATATATATATATATATATATATATATATATATATATATATATATATATATATATATATATATATATATATATATATATATATATATATATATATATATATATATATATATATATATATATACATATTTGTATTACCCTATAACGTGGTTTCACTTAAGCGTTTTATCATATACGCGGTGCCTCGCCAGAGCTGAACTTACTTAACACGGATTTTTCCACATATACGCGGTGAGTGTCCGCCTGAGACACTATTTTTAGATTTGCCCCACCCTGCCTGACTGCCTGTTTTAGCCTCATAAAATTCATACAAATTACCCGGCCAGAATATAATTTACATTGCTGGAATTTTATAATTTGGTGATCATTTTGAATATAAACATCATATTTTTGTGATTAGACATACAAATTTTAGATAAAAATTTTTCTCAAATTAACTATGTTATCTTTTGTGCAAATATATGACATTTATATTCAAAATATTCCTGGTCTTACAAGGAATCCAGCAATGTCAATTATATTATCCTAACTTTAGTTTGAGGTATTATTTATTAAAATTTAGTGGTTATCCCACACATCTCCTTGGGACGGTTGGTGGGGTGGTGGGGAGGAGGGACCGACCAATCATCTTTCATCTCTTGTGAAGAATTATTATTTTTTTATTAACTGAAGATATTTGTTTTAGCTAATAAAATTCATACAAATTAGCAATACGTAACCGAACGTAATGA